TATGGGTATTTACTAAGCATGCGTGAATAACGATTATGACTTGTATTCGGGAATCATCAAGCAACAAAGATAGAGAATTCACCTCTCGGTCTACTAACTCACTATCTACAGAGTAACTCGTCAATCTCTCGATCTATTCAAGTTAACCCTAGGTGCATGAAGAACGCTATCATCAACCCTAAATCGATTAAGCCATATCTCTATGTGAATAATACGATCTATCCTATTGATTTTGATCCGAAACAAACCCATATCTCTATGTGGTTCAGAATCCAAGATAATTGATCAAGGGGTTAGCAAACATCAATCCAATAAAAGTGCAAATCAATAGAACCGAATCAAATCAAAACCGAAATCCAAGTTAGGGTTCAAACATACCCAAAACACATACGAATCCCTAACCCATAGTCATGGATCTACTCAAGGTTCATGGAAAATAATAGAAAGAACAGAGAAAAAGAGATAAAAGAAGGGATAGAAAAGCTCATGTCGATGTCTAATCTTCACGATCGAATCCTCCTTCTTCTTCCCGAAATCCCGTGAACTTCTATTCTTCTCTCCCCAAAAGCTCTCCAAAAATCTGTATCTAGGTGTTCTCTGAGGTTCTCCCCTCTACTAGGACGTGGCTAGGGCTTTTTTATAACCCTAGGGTGGCTCCCAAGAGTTCTAATCCCATTCCAATGCTGAAAATCGCGAATTAGGGTTTCTGGTTGGATCCGGACCGATTCCAGGTGGATCCGGACCGGATCCAGATTCCTGGGGTCGAGTTGTGCGTTCCTGATCCGGACCGATTCCAGCCGGAATCGGCCCTGCACCGGCAGTTCTCTGGTCTTCACGAATTTGCTCATAACTCTCTGCTCCGGTGTCGGATTTACGCGATTTTGGTGTCTACGCGAAGCTCTTGAAGTGCTCTTTCCAATGGTATAGATCTCGCACGATTTGGACCTCTGTAGAGAAAGTTATTGATGTCGCAACATGAGTACCTCATCCGGACTTCTCCTTTAACGCTCCAATTAGCTCCTTTTCGAGTCCAATCATCTCCGAAACCTGTAACTCTGCAAAACTAGAGCACAACCGGGTTTTGTATCCTAACACGCCTAGAATGCCTATGAATGCATGTGATTATCCTATAAAACCTAGACAAACTCTCATCAAAATATAGAGAAGAATAGGAGTTATCAGTTACCTATAAGCTGATCCAGGTCAGGGGCTCCTCTTTCATGCTGACTCAGACCTCTGTCTCCGCGGTTGGTGCGATGCAGACTATGCGGGATGTCCTCTCACTCGACGATCTATGAGTGGTTGGTTTATCCAGCTCGGTCTATCTCCTGTTTTGTGGAAAACGAAAAAGCAGAGCATTCCTTCGTTGTCTTCGGCTGAATCCGAGTATCGGGCCATGCGTCTCGCTACGTGTGAACTCGTCTGGATTAAGAGCCTCTTGTCACACTTTGGTGTGGACCATCAATCTCCGATGATGTTGTATTGTGACAGTCAAGCGGCTCTCCACATTGCTCAAAACGACGTATATCACGAACGCACCAAACACATTGAAGTGGATTGTCATTTTTTACGTCATCACCTTGATCATGGAAACATCACGACTCAACATGTTTCAACTCATGCCCAGTTAGCGGATATCTTCACTAAGGCGTTGGGACGGAAGGAATTCACGTGGTTCGTCGACAAGTTGGGATTGCAACATTTGCACTTACCAACTTGAGGGGGGTATTGGATGGAATATTATATATATATTCAGATATATGCGTATACCCATAATTTGTTTCGTGCCTTGACATAGTCAAATGTCGCCTTAACACGGTGGTTATAAAGGTTATACTAAGATGTACAATGGATTACGTGGGGAGTTGTAGCGTGTCAAGATGGAATTTGTCTCTCCTGATTATGGAATAGATATCACTAGCCAAGCTATGGATGTCAGACATCTATATTGACAGATGATTAATGGAAGAGAAAAAAGTCGAATTGGCTAAGATTGATTGACACCATGTCTTACGTTTGACTGGTATATATTGCGAGACAAAGAGATATTAGTTCGATGATATTGTAGGCACAATCGAAGTTATCACTCAGTTTAACATGTGTAGTTGAAGTATCTTGCTAGAGGTCACTATCAATGTGATAACCCGTGGATTCGTTCTCCGTGTCGAACTTTAAGAAACCCCAAATGAGCCGGAAATTAGCTCTAAAATATTAAACTAAGCCTAAACCAAGTTAAACCGAAGGATTGGACCGAACCGAGCGAGAAAACGGACGGAAAAGGGGCCAGACCGTCTGTCTGGTCTGGGAGGTAGACCGTCCGGTCTGGGAAGCAGACCGACGGATCTGCACAGTGCAGACCGTCGGGTCTGAACCACGCAGACCGTCCGTCGAGTCTGATACGGACGTCGCGATTTCTTCGTCCTCTCCACGGCAGCCACCTCCTGCTTCGCCATGCGGCCGCCTCCCTCCGCATGGGCCACCTCTTGCTTCGTCTGGGACGAGGAAATACGCCCAAGTCCATCCCTTCTTCGTCATTCACCTCCCCAAACGCTCTCTCACTCACTCTCTCTCAAGAAGAACCGAACTTCGAACTTCAATTGAAGCTCTGATTTTGGTCAAAATCGATCAAAGAACCCAAAAAACAACTCTAGAGAACCTCCCCAACAAAGCCCCAAACTCGAATCTGAGCTAGGTGAGTGTTTTGGGTTATGTCTGAAAATGATAATCAAATTGAAAATGGAGATTTGCGTGATTTAAGTGTGAATTGCATGAAATTGACTTTAGATTTGAGTTCCCCATGATCTCTAGATTGTTTTAGCTATAGATAGTTAAGTTTGGTGCGAAAAATCGGAACCCGAAGTTCCTGGTTCGCCTAGACCGAATGGTCCAGACCTGGACTGTCCGTTCTAGGGTTGCAGGGTCGCAGGGAAGAAGATGAAGTCTGGACCGGCCGGTCCAGGTGTGGACCGTCTGTTCCACAGACCCTGGACAATCCATTCCAGGTGTTCCAGACCGTCGGGACTAGACCTCACGGACCGTCCGGTCCAGTCTGTGCAGACCGTCCGGTCCAGGTCCCTGTTACCCCGTTTTGACTCGTATCGTCGGATCGTGCGAGATCCGATGCAACGGACCCCTGTACCCGATCAACCTTGACCTGTTTCCTACCCGAATCTCACGAAACTTGAACGAAACCCACCTGCGGTAAGTAAAACCTTCAGAACGAGCTGAATTGGTAATCCGGGATGGCCGGAACCCAATTTGATCGGATTGAAGGATAGAAAGAATAAAATGAACGTAATGGAATCGGTAAACCAGAATAACAAGTAAAGACGTGTGCATGCATGACTAAAGTGTAATCTCGTGTGAATGCTTGTGACTGGAGAATCGGGTAGTTGACATGGCGTGAAACTTTACTCCGGAGGGCCGGAATAAAGTTGAGCGTGTGTTTGTAGTCTGGGTTGAGGTGATATCCCGATGATTGCATTGTATGGGATCTCCTCTTTATGATCTTCGACCCGGGTCGGATTTCATATTGAGGAGACATGGTTGTGATTGATCGCCTACGGGCAGAGTTTGGAGCCGATGATGTACGGGATAGTCTTGAGTGATTCGGCTATCACGGTTTGGGGAAACTATACGGTTACTCTGTGACCGCGCCAACGTTCCACTAGCTATGGAGCGGGTTCGGGATTGAGTGATTCTCCCGGCAGAGACTGGCATACATTTACCCGTGACTCGGGATTGAGAGATTCTCCCGACGAGGTTATGCGGGAATACTCTGAAAGACCTGAGCTCGGATCTGATGAGCTTTCCCGTGGCGGATGGCCGACGAGAGGTTATCAGTGGTTGACTGACTTCGCTCGACATAGTCGGTGGTGGCCTGGAGGAGGCACCTGGCGCTCTGGTATCGAGATGTGACATCGATATCAGAGGGGATGGTTGATGTGATACGTTTTTATGAGGTGTTGGCATTGGATTGTTGTATTTTTACTATTCTGGCGTCGGCCAAGGAGAGTGAGGGGATTGTGCATTGCACATGGAGAGTCCTTACCTACGCGTGTGATGCACGCGTGGAGACGATTTGATGGCACCAGTGTTACTGATAGACCCGATGGGTCGAGCTATGACTTGTGTATGACCTGGACTGGTGATACCAGATCCGTATTCTATCCTATGTGTGTGATGCACATAGAGACGATTTGACGGTTGATGTCCGATGACTTGTCATCCGGACTGTTTGTGCTTGATACATGTGTTAGACGCTATGACATGATATGTTTGGACATGTATATTGCATACTATGTGTATAATATTGTTTGTGCTTGGCCATTTGCAATTTGAGTATGATCTTCGGGTTTAACCCGAAGTACTCACTAAGCATATAGCTTATGGACATTGTTATGCAATGTTTCAGGCTCGGAGCAGCTTTGGCAGCAGCAGGACGAGGGTACCGGTGACGAGTGAGACGTGTTCCCCCGGATCATGTATATTTTCTTTCTAGACGTGTATAGATGTTCTGTTATCGGCGGTGTATACCGACTGTGTTTTATGTTGTATCCACCGTCTTTATGTTATGGTGTGTATATGTCTACTGTATGTGGGTTTGTGTGTAGAAACATATTTCCGCTGCGTATGTGTAATATAAAAATGTTTTTAAAATTCCCGCTATTTTGATATACGGTTTGATCGTCCATGTGGCGCACCTCATGGACGGGACACGGATTACGGGCATCACAACTTGTGGTATCGAAGCAGTTCTTTCCACGGGAAGGAATTGCTTGAAACCCAAGAGAATAATGTTTTATGATTTCAAAACGATTTTCGAAAAAATGTTTTAACGTATTTACACATGATCCTGAAGTCACCAGAATTGAGATTTTCTCCCCTGTCTGTAGTGTACCGATCCGAGACGTGGTAGACTTGCTCGTGAGCCGGCGAGGGAGGAAACCCCTCCACCCGCGCATGCACCACTGGAATTCCAGTAGCAGTTCTTCGATGCGATGTGGCATCATTTCCAGACCAACATGCCATATCCAGCTGGAGCTAGACCAGAGGGTGTTCCAGCCCCTATTGCGGTGGACTATCTGCCTTTGATACGTGAACTTCGGATGATGGGTACACCGAGGTTCGAGGGGACTTAGAGACCTGAGATTCGGAGAATTGGCTGATCCGCATCTCGAGGGATCTGAACTATGTCCGATGTCCATTACAGTACCGGGTAGAGATCGCGAGCCACCATCTATTTGGAGAGGCCCTTCACTGGTGGGAGGAAGTGGTTCGTGAGGCTGCACCTGATCATCAGTTTACTTGGGAGGAGTTCAAGGCACAATTGGAGGAGAAGTATTGCCAGAAAGGAGACCAGGATCACCGTATTGTGGAGTTCCTCCACTTAGAGCAGGGTGATCGTACCCTACCTGCTTATGAGGCAGAGTTCACTCGTCTCCTGCGATACGGGTCACATTTGGTGCCGACTGAGAAGCTGAAGATCCAGAAGTTTGTGACTGGATTGCGACCTTATTTGCGTAGACGGATAGAGATCCAGGAGTATCCTATGTTGAGTAGGTACATGACTCAGCTGCATAAGTTGGAGAGGAGAGAACAAGAGGAGCAGCAAGAGGAGAGGAATCGAGACAGCAGTCCCATGAGGCGCATTACGTTCACTCGCCCCTCTTCGAGTTCAGGACAGATGATGCAGCCCCGTGATAGGGGAAGAGTACCAGCGGTTCACCCTACGGCTCCATCGCCACCGGCACTGCCAGGACCACGCAGATCTTGTCCACGGTGTGGACGAGATGATGTTGGACCATGTCGTTCAGGGTATACTTATTACCGTTGTGGTCAACCTGACCATTTCGCTAACCAGTGTACCGGGAACGTCGCTACCTCTGGATAGCAGGGGACGAAATTTCCACGTCCTCAGCCACCACGTAGAGGGGGCGCAGCGCCACGAGTCTACATGCTTTCTGCAGAGGCAGAGACTCAGGAGGACGGGGCCTACTATGCCCAGGAGACAGTCACAATTGATGCAGTTGTTGAAGGTGACCCAGAGCAGATCGATGTTGCTACCATCACAGGTATTATACATATTCATGGCACCGCTTGTCGTGCTTTGTTCGATACGAAAGCTACACATAGCTTCCGAAGTTTGGGGATGGCCGAGACTCTAGATGTAATGGATGTTGACACGGCTGAGCGCTATAGAGTACATATTCCTTCGGAAGAGATTCTGCCAATGACTGGCGTATTACGTGGAATTCCTCTGGTAGTCTGTGGGAGGAATCTTCTAGCTGATCTGATCATAGTACCTATTCAGGGGTATGACCTGATATTGGGAATGAATTGGTTATCCGTGTTGGTTTAGTGCTCTATGAGCTTTATTTAGATACATTTGATGTATTGATACTTTCTATGGTTTATGAGAGTATTTGATTCATTCCATGTTCTTGCATACTAGATGTGTTATGAAATCCATGTATCATTATAAATGATACTAAACTCCCTAGTCATATATCATTGTGGGAATAATGATATGACAAGACTAGTATGATGTGTGATTGATGATCA